AAATTCAGAAATGCAGAAGAGTAAAGAAGTTGTTTCCATCTTGGAAGTTGGTGGAATATCTCCAAAATCTAGAGGAGATTGATGTCGGATATTGTGAAGAAATGGAAGAAATAATAGCATCAGATCCAGAAGAAGAAGGAGAAGGAGGGGACATCATCAAGGAGCTCATTCTTCCAAAATTAAAAGAGCTGTCATTGAAGGGATTGCCCGCATTGCAGAGTATCTGTAGCAGGAGAGCAGTAATGGTATGTGATTTTCTTGAATCTATTGAAGTTAGGGATTGCAACGGCTTAAGGAGGATTCCGTTTCATCTCCCTCCTAGTCTATCTCTTTATGGGTTGGACAACTTGGATTGGCTATTTGAAGTAGAATTGATTGCCATGTCACCACCTCAGCCTCACCCTTTTTCATTTCTTAAAAATGTTACGATTGAGAAATGCAGAAGAGTAAAGAAGTTGTTTCCATCTTGGAAGTTGGTGGAATATCTCCAAAGTCTTAAAAGTATTTATGTCCGTGATTGTGAAGAAATGGAAGAAATAATAGCATCAGATCCAGAAGAAGGAGGAGAGGAAGGAGGGAACATCATCAAGGAGCTCATTCTTCCAAAATTCAAAAGTCTGTATTTGTATAATTTGCCTGCATTGAAGAGCATCTGTAGCCGGAGGGCAGTAATGGTATCTGATTCTCTTGAAAATATTCATATTAGCAATTGCAAAGCCCTAAGAAGGATTCCTTTTCGTCTCCCTCCTCGTTTATCTCTTGAGAAGGTGGACAACTTGGATTGGGGGTTTGAAGAAGAATTGATTGCCATGTCACCACCTCAGCCTCGCACTTTTTCATTTCTTAAAGAAGTTGTGATTATGAGTTGCAAAAAAATAAAGAAGTTGTTTCCATCTTGGAAGTTGGTGGAATATCTCCAAAGTCTTGAAAGAATCTATGTCTACGAATGTGAAGAAATGGAAGAAATAATAGGATCAGATCCAGAAGAAGAAGGAGAAGAAGGAGGGGACATCATCAAGAAGCTCATTCTTCCAAAATTAAAAAATCTAGAATTGTCGGGGTTGCCCGCATTAAAGAGCATCTGCAGCAGGAAGGCAGTAATGGTATGCGATTCTCTTGAAGAGATTATAATTAGGGATTGCAAGGGCCTAAGGAGGATTTCTTTTCATCTCCTTGCTCGTCTAACTCTTTCTGAGTTGGACAACTTGGATTGGCTGTTTGAAGTAGAATTGATTTCCATGTCACCACCTCAGCCTTGCACTTTTTTATCTCTTAAAAAAATTAAAATTCAGAAATGCAGAAGAGTAAAGAAGTTGTTTCCATCTTGGAAGTTGGTGGAATATCTCCAAAATCTAGAGGAGATTGATGTCGGATATTGTCAAGAAATGGAAGAAATAATAGGATCAGATCCAGAAGAAGAAGAAGGAGGGGACATCATCAAGAAGCTCATTCTTCCAAAATTAAAACGGCTGAGATTGGAGAGATTGCCAACATTGAAGAGCATCTGTAGCAGGAGGGCAGTATTGGTATGTGATTTTCTTGAGTCTATTACCATTGAGGGATGCGAGGGCCTAAGGAGGATCCCTCTTTCTCTTCCCCTAGTTGATAACGTCCAACCATCTCCTCCTCCTTCCCTCAAAAAAATCTACATGCGTAGACGAGAGGAGGAATGGTGGGAATCGTTGGAGTGGGACCATCCCAATGCAAACGATGTCCTTCAACCCATGGTTCGATTTTTTCCTGCTATTTTCCCGTTTCCATCATCAAAGTCGGAATAGTCGAAATCGGCCGATTATCCACAAGATTGAAAGGTGAGGATCAATTTTCTATTTTAATTTAGCTGTTACTCTCTGCAAATCTTTGTTTTGGCATTCATTCCCTACAAATTGGAAAAATTTTTAGTGGATGAAAATGCATAAATAAATTCCTTGATTATTGTTAAAAATATATAGTAGTGCTTAATTTCCCTTCCCAATGATTTTCAAGTAATGAATTTTTCCTTTAATTTTTTCATTGGATCAGGAAGCCGGTTTATTCAGCCAGTCTGTTGCTTTTCGTTCCAGGCTTCAAAGGATGTCCTTTCTACTACCCTTGTGTGGATTGTTTTAGTGTGATTCTTGTGTTTTCATACTCTCTGTAAATTAATAGTGTTGAAAACTGATTTAAAATCCCATATGTATTCTTATGTATTTTGCTGCATTGTTATATATCTTGGTTGTACCATGTACAAACATAAATATGTGTTTTCAATCTAATCTATATGATGAATT